AAAAAGTGTTTGAGCTCGAGTCGTGCCGTGGATCAACTCCAGTGCTCTGGTCATTTAGCCATCAAAGAAACAGGCGAGCGAGGATACAAGAGAAAGCACTGCACAGACCACCAGCGCTGGTTTCAGGGTCCGTTTGAACTCTGGCTGCAGCTTTTCATTCCTGATTAATCCTCCAATTATTTTCCCCGCATGATATTTAAAATAGCAATTTTCACTATATTTTTCATGGTTGTTTCATCTAACACAACCACCGTCCTGTGATACAAGATGAAGCTCCAACTGTTAGCCAGCGACTGTTTATGTTAGTGGGAAAAAAATAATAATATTAATTTGCATGTGACCCATTGCCTGATATTTACTGCACAGTGTGGATAATCTATCTGTGGGCTGTTGAGAGCCGTTCACCTCTAGTTAACACACTGGGAACTGAACAGGACCGCTGTTGTCATTCCTTAGTGCTGAAGCGCAGTGCCATTACATTTATAGATTTTCTCTTTGATGGGATAATTTGGTCTTTATATCTCTCACAAATGAAGTGATCCTCAGTGCTCCTTGCACAGCTCAATGTGCAGGTCTCATTTTCAAATACAGTTAATTGCATTCGAAAAGAATCAATGATACTTTCACGGTGACAATATCATTCTTTTAATGTCACTTAATTTCCTCAGTGAAATGATTACATCAATAGCCTGGAACCCATTTCTATCTTTCAGCATGAATTAATCTATTAGGGACAATAATTACACGTTTGTAATGGATAGGTTTTTGTACTCAGAGGCAAATGCACTCGAGTCTCCATTGTGCTCCCGGTTGCTGGCACTGTCCTGACTGTCATTCATTCAGTTTATGAATTACACTATCAACCTGGGAGAAATAAATAAATAAATAAGGGTACCTCAGATGCAGTTCCTTGGTGGCCTTGTTGTGAGATAGCCCTCCCTCTAGTGGAGATGATAGAGTTGGTTGCTGCTGTCAGATGGCTTTCTCCTCTCGTCTGCTGCTGAGGCAGGCAGTCAGTCAGCGATGGAGAATGCAAAATGAGAGGAGGAAAACAATTGACAGAAAATATAGAAGGGAAATGGAAATCTCTGTATTACATGTAGCACACGTGTCAGGATAGAAGGGGTGAAAAGTCAGGTGTAACGCCAGGGAAAACGAAGGCTTTTTGAAGAAGGCTTACAGTGAATGTCAAAATAAGGCCAAATAAGTCCACGTGGGTTCATTCAGTGCTGTGGTGTGCAGCTGATTCACCTACAGAAATCTCTATAACAAATTACAATAAGTGCGTTCACACTAATAAGTGTGTAATTCTGCTGAAAAGCCAAATCAAGTTTGTGTAATTTGTGGACGCCTGGGTTACCTGATACAGCAGCTGTGATATGTGCGACAGACGCGACGCTGCTTTTGTCCCGTTATTTATTCATTACCAGTGGAAACCAACCGACTGCCACGGCGTGCAGCCTTTTCACCTGGAGTTTTTTCTGCTAGGCTACCCACCGAATTCCGGAGGAGGGCTAGGGTTGACCAGATAGGCAAAATTAACTTAAATTAGAGCCTCTAAAAACCTAGTTAACTCGAAACAGCTGTACAAGCATACAGAGGTACATAGGAAGCTTCTGTTTCCAAAACTGAGCACTGAGTTGTCTTACCTTTTTAGGGGGGGTTATAGGAATTCACAGTCTCAAAATAAAAAATATATATAAGAAAACAGTATGAATAAAATATGTTATTTTTTATACAACACCTTAAAGAAAAAGTGGGTGAATCAGCTGTAAGTTTTGTTTTTCTTCGTAGCACAGCAGAGCCCCCCTCTCTACTCCCTCCCCCCCGCGTTTGAATCACTTTTGACCCCGCTCGCCGGGTCCTGCTGCCTGCCGGTGGAGGTGTTTGGTTTAGCCACAGGGCGCGCGCCGGAGGAGGAGTGGATAGTGCGGCTGCCGTTGTGTGACAGTTAAACGCGGCGCTCAGACACACAGAGCCACACTACCACCACCAACACCACTACAACCTGGAGACACCACCTCTACAGTGCGCGGTGCTCAGCCCGGGGATGTGACATGACTTGTCCGAGTAAGGTACACGGCACGTTCATCAACCGTATTTATCTTCCAATTACACATCCAACACACGTGATTTTAAGAGTTTGATTTAATAGGTTTAAACATGTTATGCTAGTTTACTTATCTTTTAGCTTGAATAACGTCAGCGTGCGGGCAGTTTAGCTCTTACTATTAAAGCATGTGCAGTGCACGTGCAACACCACCTTTTTCACTGGTCATATAAATCATATAAATTACGATATTTATGTGATTAATTCTGTATGCCTGACATAGGGTAAAAACTAGTGAGGCCTATTGTCAGGTTTAGTTTCCGAGGAAGGAAAAATACGACTTTATAGCAGTCTTTTTAAGGACATTACGTTGTTTTACAGCTTTTCTGCTCATTATCCCACACTTGTTTACATAAACAGACTTTAATATCATTTATTTTTTAATAATAAAATTAACTTGACATTTAGAGAGTTAATCCCATACTTGAAGCACACTGATTCTTCAGGTTGCCTCAGTGTTGTCAGAACTTTGTAATTTGCTTTCAGTGCTATTAGTGTATGTGTGTTTGTGTGTGGCGTTTTATGACACAAACAGTTGTAATTTTGTCAGTGTCAAGACTTTCAATGCATATAGTACCATGTCTTTAATGGTTGTGTAGAGGTTCTTTGCCTTTCTCACCTGAAGTGACTTTCAACACACCTTAATTACTGTTTTACTTGCATACATGTAGTACATGTGAACCAACAAACAGGCAGGTGTGAGGTGAGCAGACTTGAAGAATGCAAACAGGAATCTCAATTTAAAAAACAAAAAAGAACCCAAAAAAGGGAAAAGAAAAATTTTAGTCACTCAACTTCAGCCCCGTTCAAGTGTGATTGAGTGTTTGCCTACAACAAGTCTATTATTTATTTGAATCAGATCCCTTTCTGTCAAACAGCTGCCACAAGCTGTGATTTTTTTTTTCATAACAGAGCTGATAAGAAGCAGCGATAACAGCAGCATGGCTTTCATGGCTCACACTGCATGACAAAAGTATGTAAGATGTCAAGTCCCGGGAGGCCTATAGGAAATATGCAGAAATGTGATTCGTCAAATGACAGCAGTTATCACTATTAAAAAGTTAGAAACCAGTCTGTTTGGTAATAATATGATCTCCTAACATCACTGCTACTGTAACGTATGCCCTGTTCAGCGCATTTAACACGAAACAATATTTTTTTTGTAGCTGTTGCACTATTTAAAAATACTTTTACATCATTTACCAGACAACTTGAACAACAACCAACAACCTGAAATTGGCTGAAGTATACCCATGCCTTGTCTTCCTTATTATTCAATATTCAGCTCGTATTGAAGCCCAAGAACTGTAATTTTGATTTTATTCCTGAATTAAGTAAATTAAACTGACAGGTGTTTGATTTGGCATCGACCTTGATTGGATTTTCATTTATTTAGTCATTTTGTTTTGTCACAAAAAAGGGAGCAGATGCTGTGTGATGTGATGCCACCTTAGAGGCACCATTGCTGCACATCAATAGGCCTGTGATGATCAATAGGGATTGCGTGATGTTTTTGCATTGATTATAGAAACGTGAGCCGATGAATGGAACCGGATTCCTCTCCGGGGGGGAGGGGGGGGG